TTGTAAATATTTTTAAAATAATGGAGACTGTTTCCTTTTAAATACAGTTCTTCTAACCCACACAGCCCGTCAAATACATCATCATCAACAGTGGATATGTTATTATAAGAAAGATCAAGGATTTTGAGAATAATGGAGTCCCAGAAATATTGTTAATTATGTTTCCAGAAAGATTGAGTACTTGTAGTTGGTAAGGTAGGTGGTTAGTTGGTATTTTTTTATTGAATTTTTATCTCATAACAGACAGTATATCTCAGTTGGCTGTTATTATGAAATTGTTTAAATAAGATCAACTTTACTACTTTGTTAAATTTATAGATGTGCGAAATTTCCAACCTACCATTCTCATCATATTGTCCAAGACAGGGTTATATTCAATGCACTAAAAGAAGAAATAATAAGTGTTAGCAATTTATATATGTATATTCATTCTCAACACGTCCGTGTTGGCGTTCGAATCAAAGTAGTGCACATGGTTTCCTTTCAAATACACCATTTTGTTTGAAGATGCCTAGGTCATTAGGCTAGGTAAACTGAGATTGAACAAACATGACGTAATTCGTCGTGAACCAGAATGACACGCTACATGTTTGTTTCATTAAATGAATTTAAAAGCAACATCAATTTAGGTTTGGATATGAAAATACATGTTTATGATTACTTGAAATTAAAGGGCAAGAGAGAAACAGTGGCAAGAATATGAGCAAAAAATTGAATCAAGCACGGCTAATGATATTGTATATTTTGAGTACGTATTTGTTAGTTTTCACAAAATAAAAACCTTATTTGACATTTTACCGCAGCCTCAATTTGTTCTTATTTTGTTCTTAATTTTTAAGCAATTTCAGCCTCAGCGTTCTTATAAGATGTTAACAAAAAAGTGTATACCGGTACTGCGTTTGCACAGATATACTCTATGCTGTGGTGGTGGAGTGTAATTTTTCCGTAGAATGAAATTTGTTAATGTTCGTTTTAGTTTATTTCATTTAGCAGGCATGCCAAATACAGTGTAAATGTAGTTTTATCATTGAGTTAGTAATTGTTACTACGTTTCGATTACAGTCGCTGGTTTCTGCAGTATACACATCTTTTTTATTAGGAGCCTTTTTTTTAAATTATTGTTTTAACAGAGGATCGGTGATGGACGTAAGTGATGTTGCGTAAATGTAAAATACCCCCAAATATCATTATATTTAGTGTAAGAATTGTTACCCATAATTTATTAAAATGTCATAAAATTGTAGAAACATTTCCAGTCAGTGAAAGTGTTATTATCATTATCTAGTATAAACATCAGGGTACACATTTTTAGAATCAAAAATTTGTATGCTCATATATATGTATGTTACTGCAAAATGAGCAAATTAATTTAATGTGTTTTTTTATTTTAAGGGGACAATATATCATTAATCCTTAACTAAACTTGCTATGTCACCAAACAGCCTCCTCTCTCATCACAGAGCCTGGATACATTACAACATTGTTGTGTCTCTTCGGGTCCAACTTAATAACTAACAAGTTAGAATAGGTCCAAGATTACGCGCATTTCCCACCAACATAATTGTGTTTGTGTACGTTTATTCTGTCTTTTTGTGATATAACAACAATATAATAGGGGTGGCTTAGCGAAAATTTCCAATAAGTTGTTATTTTTGGCTTTTCCCAGTGCTTCTTTTTTTTTTTTTTTGTTCTGATTTTTTTTCTTTTTCTTGCATATATTTTCCCTATCTCCTTTGCTGTTTTTTTTTTCTGGCCGTCACTTTGTTCACTTCCCATGCTTAGAATTTTCCCTGCTTTCCAGAAACATAGGCTATATCTAGGATGTGCCTCCAATTATTTAGTGTCAATCTATGGTGGGGTGTGCGTGTGAGGACCAATTAAAATGATTTAAGGTCAAACAGTCTACACCGGATATTTGATCTGAATGAAACTTAAGGGAAAGTTTATCAAGTTACAAGGAAGAAATGTTTATGTGTTAATGACGATCCAGTAAAGGATGTAAATTTGAGGGTCTTTTCAATTTTTGAGGACCCAGACCTAAAATATCTCTTTAAAAAACCAAAGGGTCTAAATGAAACATTTTATAATACTTTGTAAAGGTCTTGTAAAAATGATTAATTTTTTGTGACGATCCGCAGAATGGTGTGGATCTGTGGGCCATTTAAAGGTAAACATCCAAGACCACATCTTTCGAAAACGCATCAATTGGTCTAAATGAAACATTCTGAAAAAGTTTAACCAATTGGTTACAAACAAGAAATTATTATGTGCTGGCGACGAATCAGTCAAGGGTGTACATTGGAGGGTCATTTCAATTTTTGGGGACCCAGACCTAAATATCTAATTATCTCTTTAAAAAAAAATCAATGGGTATAATTTAAACCTTGTATAACAGTTTATCAAGGTCGAGTAAAGAAATAATTTAATTTTTGTGGGGAAGTGGGCAGTGGGGAAAAGCCCTATGTTCTGTTGTTCAAACAGACACAAGTCTATTTTCTTAATGAAGCTGTAAATGTCAAGCTAAAGACATTATTTCACTGGATCTCAATGGTCATTCCTTTCTTTGCTCGCTCGTTCATTCTTTTATTCGTTAATGTACTCACTTATTCAATACTCATCTGCTTCTTATGTCTCCTATGAATACAATAACAAGATGGTTCTCATGTCCTTTATAATATTCACACTACAGGAATATTTATTGATTGAACTTACTTGGCGAAAACACCTTTCCGTGTAGTCAAATAAACACAACCCACCAAACAAAACGTGCTGTTCAATAACCAGAAATACCCGCATAAAACATTACAAATAACAAAAAAAAAAACTATCTAATGGAAGGGCTTACCGGAAGTCCATTAATAACGATTTGAAAAAATAGTAAACCGGTATTTTAAGTTATAAACGTATGGGCGGCAGAAGCAGTCCGGCTGGTCAGGTGGTGTTGAGATAATTATTATATTGAAATAATACTTTTTATAATAATAAAAAAAAAATCTTTTTTTAATTCGGTTCAGTGACATATTTTGTTAAATAACGTCACTATTATAAACGTGCACATCAAGTTGGGCTGTGCCAGTGGTGGATGCAAAAAAAAATGATCTTGATATTTTAGAGACAACCTTTAACATACCGATCAAATCAGAAAACTTAGATACTGTTGTATCACAATGTTATCATCAGGCTATTTTGCTTGCTTCATTGAAGTTGTATTCTAATACACACAAGGATCCATAGTTGGTTGGTTGATTGAGTAAACAGTTGCAGTTTTTAATTAATTAATGTGTAAATAATGTCATCCGTGTGTTTTGATTGTAAATAGTGAGTAAAAATCAAATGGAATTGTTTTTGCCACTTTTGTCATTTACTAGTTCCGCTATCACGAAAGCAGCGAACTGAGGTCAAATCAACCCTGTTTAACAGGTAGGTAGGATCTACCAATTAAAAATCTTGGATTTGTTTCATTTTCATTATGGGGTTAAAATACTAACAAAACTTGCAAATTCAATATTCTTATGTTAAAACATTTATATGACCACATATATAACAATGTAGTAAAATGTAAAGTGAACAAACATTAAGATTTTTCTTCCACTCTAGTCCACGCTTGCGTGTTGGCGGGATTCACGCTTGCGTGTTGGCGGGGTCGGCTCAGCCCTAAGCTACACCCCTACGAAAATTTTCAAACGGTCCAGACTATAAATTGCATTTTTTTGCAGAAATATAGCCTAGTTGCTGCAAGTAGGCTTGTAATAGGACATTCGTTTTCTAGATAAAGGTTTTAAAAGCACACCAAAAGTCCAACTGATAACTAAATTCTGCCAAATTACATAAAGAAAGAAGTCAAATCTGTCTATCACGCTTGAGAGATTTTTTGACCCCCATGAGAGCCAGTCGTGGATTTGATGGTTTTTATATTTTCTTATTTTCCGATAAAACTACTCAACCAATCACATTAAGTTTTATATCAGCTTCAAGCTTATTATATTCCCTTCAAAAATCCACTTGCGTCAACTCAAACAAAGAAATAGTCTGTGAGTGAGGGAGTAAGAAACGAGCTCTGAACAGGCAATTACCTCAAATTTTTTGAAATTCCCTATCTAAATCGACGTCAGGAGCTGCGTTATAAATCGGCATTTTCCGACAAAACTGTAGGGATTTTTTTCAATTATTCTTCACGAATTGGTAGATTAATATTTTATACAACATAATCCGCTTAGGCCATTATTAGAAAATCATAGATATTGTACCTAAAATGTAGCCTATTTTTGTGAAAAAAAAATCCAGTTTTCTCCAATGGTTAAGGCGACCTTGGAGAGCAAATGATACAACGTTTCCATATGATTGGTTTATTTTCATAAACATTACAATCTGTAGGCCTACTGATACTATTTTGGTAATAAAAGAGTGCAAATGAAGAACACATTTCCTAATTTGACTTATTATTACGAAATACCATAATTATTATCATTATCATAATTATTTATTTTAAAAATCGTTCTCGATTATATGCATTTATATGTAAACATTATGGTAGATATCGGAATCTGTAATGGTATATTTTAACATTAGATGCATGGAGAAATAAAAGTGTGACGGGAAAAACAAATCTATTAAAAGGCATACGATACTTCTTTTAAAAATTATTTAATAAAAAACATTGCAAATGAAAATCATACAACGTACAGTTACTCTACATGGCAAGCTACTTTAATAGCAACATAATAAGTTTATTCACTGTGGATTATGTGCATTCACTATATATACAAATATATAAGTAATCTGTGCTCGAATAGGAACGTACTGTGATGTTATTATTGTACCTAGCACAGCCTTTTAACAAAAAGTTAGCAGGAATTGAACTCGCCAGGGGCACATTTTCAAACAATTGATAAGGAAATTATTCGCTGATAGGCTATGCCTGATACGATCTTTCCAAGTACTTGATTATCTGTCTCTTATACACATCTAGATGTGTATAAGAGACAGATATATATGTATATATAAGGAGCAAATTACTCGTAGGCCAATATCGGTTTATATTTCTGAATATATTTTTTTGTCTTCTAAATATAACTATTAATTAATCATTTATATTTATTTGAATATTTAGGTACTCTCACACGGCCCTCTGAGAGACCCTCTAACACTTTGTATTACTGTACTAAACTCGACCAAGAAACATCAGGTCAACGAGTTGTAGGATATAAAATATATAGTAGAAATGTCTCAAATCTGTATAATACATTACTAATAGAATCCGTTTCCGACCGGGCCGCGCTATTAGATCGGTCCTTTCAATCAATTCCGTGTTTTATTTAATAACTAGTCCTCCGGCCCTTTTAAAATAATAAAAAATAGATACAAATTAAATGTACATAGGCCTACTTTAATAAATTATTAACAATATTGACATCTTTAGACGACATTAAATAAAATGAAATGAAATATTTAAGTATTTTTGTTAACATAATGTCAATATAATATGGACAACCTAACACAAAATGATATTTATCTTCTATTTTACCTAAGTTACATAACTTGCATAATCAGTCCTTTTTTCTATATTTACCCATCTACCTCTTTCTACCTCTGGTTCCAAAATACCCTATCTAAGTTTTGTAAAAATTCGCTTATATTTAAAATCAATATTTTGTATCAAGTATTCCTCTATTTCAAATGTATGCTTGAACATTTTGTAATGCCTTAATTTGGAATATGAATTGATATTTTTTAAAGAATTTCTGTCATTCTACATCTATCAACCAATTTATATTATTCATATTTTGAGATAACCATATTTCACCAAAACCTATAGAACATATCATTTATTTAACATTATATACCCAACAAAGTTCATCTTTTTGTGTTTTCCGCATCGGGAAATTATAGCATTTTCTGATACTTTTGTCTTCACTCATATAAATTAAACGTGCCCAATATCGAATAACATTAATAATACAGTCTACTGATATTGAAACCTTTCACATTCACCCATAACTGCCTCGCCAGGTGCCGATTTTCCAATGCCTAAATTATACTTACAAAAGTTGATCTGGAAATCATCAATATGTTTGAGAATATTTAATCCCATATTCCACTACCATATAAAATAATTGGGATAATTTTTACATCGGGAGGAGGCGTATAATAGCGTAACGCCTATAGGCTCTCGGGGGCTGAAGCCTCCGGGCACCTTTAAACTGGGGTAAGGGTTCTCTAAATAGCCTTAACAATACAGTCCACCTGAGTAGAAAGACAGCAAAACCATGCAAATTAAAGCAATGTCATTTTATTTATTTATTTATTTTATAGAATTTACATAGTGCCTATCCAGAAAACTGCCCAAGGAGCATTTTCACAACGTGCAACCTCATCCGCTTCCTAGGGAGTATTCCTAGATATGCGTGTAATCAGCACTACTAATTAGATTCCGAATTATTCACCTCATACCATATTATAAAAAAGGATTTACTTAATACCTCCTCGGTCACTTTCGTGACTTTCATGAGGGAATATTTTAGTGAAACGCATTGGACCCCAACACTTTATCGCCCGGGGCCCCATGACCCCACTGCTACCGTAGACATCACCGAGAGATGATGTCGTGGCAGGCTGCATTACACCACACAGAAGTCAGTTTTTAATAAAGATTTCTGATAATCGGCTGAGTGAGTTTTTATCAACATTGATTAAAAAGAAAAAAAAATACGAAAATACTACAACTACACATTAACCGAAGCAGTGGCGGATTCAGTTGGGGTCCAGCGCCCTACTTTCCTTCCCAAGTTTTCATAGATAAAACAAAAATTGGTGTAAAGAAATATATAAACATTTAAGACTTTAAGTCTGAGAGTGCCATTTACCGCCATTTAGAGATGGCATAACATATTTTTCTTACCTCAGCACCCAACCATGGTGGAACTGAAACTCCCTCCCTGTGCCCCTCTATTTCGAATTCCAGGATCCGCCACTGCGAAGATAAATTATCATAATTTATATTTCACTCTTAGAACCTTAAACTAAATTTACATTTTTGTAATCTCCCCGCAAACGTTGTTATGCGACAAGGAATTCAGTTTTATTTCATGGCTGTATTGCAGTACAATGCTTTTCCTCCTGATTCTCCCAAAATTTAAGAAGCGGCCATGTGGTTTTTAATTTGGAGTACAGATTTGCATCATGTCGTTTAGTATTCACTAACGTGTATATGTAATCATCATCAACATCCTCCTTAAGTTGAATGTATTTATTCTTATCTATTGTCAGGTGTCCCAATGCGCCTTGGTTCTTTCTGAAAATCAAGCAGGTGTATCCATCTTCGGTTCCAGGAATTACAGGTGGATTTAAACACAGGTATCCATCTGAATCAAGAAAAACTTCATTCGATGATTTATTAGGAATGTACGTGAAATATCCATTTACAGACAGATCATTCCCAAGACTAGATATTATTAGGTAGCCATTTTCGTCAAGGTCAAGGGGCTTGTATCCTTCTTCAACTGCTTCGCCTGCATTTTGTGGCATGTCAGATGACTGGGTATCAATATTCAGTGATGAACCATGGTTTACACCACGAGTCAAATATCCATTTCTCACTACAAGAGAAACTCGACCTATCTGTGGTCGGGCGTCATCTGCGTCGATTTCGTTAGCATAGGTGTTTGGAGGAGGTCCCTGGGTAGAAATTCTCCTGTCCAATTTTTTTTTAGCAAGACGAATTTCTAGTCTTTTTATTCGGCACTTTACCACTGCGGCCCCTGCCAATATACATATGAAGCCTCCAAATACAAACCAAGCAACTTGCCATGCTGCCACCTCTGATGATCTACCAGTAAACTTACATGGTTCTCTGAGAACACACTGTGGTACATCTGATGTATTACTCTGTTGGCTGACTTGTCCGGTTACTGTGTACCAGTACGTATTCCTACAGTTGTGATATTCTTTGTAAGTGTATAAACCCGATATATTATAATGGCGGGCCGGGGTCAAGTTGAGAGAACCATTTGTAACGCTTATCAAATCTCGTATTTCCTCGCACAGACCTATGTGTTCAGGCACATCCCAACAAATTTCCGTCACCTCGTGAGTTAGTGTTGCCTTCTGACTTTTGCTGCAATAGCTGTCAGAATCTTTTTCCCGTTGCCACAATTCACTATTAGATGAGAGAATTAGAGATTCAGTGTACGTTGTGTTACGGGTTTCATTACCAATACCCTCACATGAAAAATTCACCTCTGTCCCATTGCACTCGTAGTTTTCCAGCATATACTGTACAGAGCAGTCACACTGGAATGGATTGTTTTGAAGCTTGAACACGCTTTTATTAAATGAATCTAAAATAGAAAGCGGGAATGACGTCAGTCTATTGTCTCGCAAATCTACCTCCTGAAGTTTTGGTAATTTGTATGTACAGCGGTCGACTGATACCGCTGATATAATGTTGTTCCGTAAGTTGAAGATTTGAAGTTTCCATAGTAACGCCGGTATAAATACGTGTTCTAAACGATTTCCATCTAAATCCATACATCTTAATGACGGCACTTTTTTAACTGCATTGTAAACGTCTTTAAAATTATGGAGCTTGTTTCCTTTCAAATACAGTTCTTCTAACGCACACAGCCCGTCAAATGCATCTTTGTCAACATTGGATATGTTATTGTATGAAAGATCGAGAACTTTGAGTTTCTTAAAACGTGATAATGGAGTAATATCCATAATTCCGTTTCCAGAAAGATTGAGTGCTTGTAGTTCGGAAGGTAGATAGTTAGCTGGTATTGTCTGAAAGGCGTTATTCGACAATGTAAAATTAACGATGTCAGTAAGATTTAGTCCACTGGGTAAATTTTCATCTGATGCGTCAGTGTCGTTCAGCGTTAATGATGTTGCTCCTTTGCAATCTAACAATTTGCCTTCATTTTCCTTTCCGATGTCTACAGCCTTACACTTACATGTCTTTTTTTCCAAGGTACATTTTGCAGCTGTGAAATACTTAGATTGTGTAATTAATACGGCCACCATTAACATACACAGCGCTGAAGAATATGGCATCGCGTCCAATAGATACATTCACTTAGAAGGGGAAAATCGAAAGATAATGATTATGTTTTAAGAATTATATTTAAATTCACATGGTTACGCTATAAACACAATTTTAGAAACAATTTTATTGATATTATTATTATCATCATCAGTCAGTCAGTCTCATTATTATATTATTTACTTATTATTATTACTATAATATTACGATTATTATTTTTTTGTAAATAGACATATAAAAATCATCATTTATCTTTGTTAGTTGCAAGAAAATGCCATACTTTATTTCCACTGACACCACACAAGTTGTTTAAACTAGCGAGTAGTGTCTTTAGAAGGAAATGACTATGACCAATTATTTTAAATATTAAAGTATCTCGTTCGAAAAGAGCAACATTTTAACACACTATGTAACATAATTGTGGATGATACAGATACAGATACAGATTAAATTTATTGTCAAATGTACATGTAAACATACAATGAAATAGTATTGGCTCGATGAACGCAAGCTTAGCTCAAACTTACCATTAGGCGTATCAACAAATAAATATTTTATAATTTCTTGTCTGTATTCTGTTCGAAGTCTTGGCTCTAAATGGTACATACTTTGTTAACTTTTATAATAAATCTTGTTGTGTACAATACCAAATAAGGTAATCCAGGGGTTAGGAGAACTGTGGTTGCATAAACATGACATCATACATTGTGACCCACAATGACACGTTTTATTTGTTCAAATGACCTCAACAATATATATTTTTTTTAATCTTGGATGTGCATGAAAGTCCATAGTTATGTTGAGAAATTAAATGGAGAAAATAAAGAACAAGGAAACAGGCTTGTGATAAAATAAATATCTACATCATTGTTTTCATTGTTTACTGTACAGTTCCCACCAAGTACTTGATTATTTATGGATATATTATGCTACCTAGCAACATTGATTCCATTATGTTTCTTCAATATAATACCTCATATGATCTTACCGCAGCCCAACTTTGTGAGAAAGTATATCATTTTTGTTTTTCAAGTATCCTTGTGTTGATTGTGGCTGAAATGTTCTCGGGCCCCCTTTACCTAGCTCAGTGATATGACATTCGCCTGGAAAATCAATCAATCAATCGATCGATCAATTAATCGATTAATTAATCAATCAATCAATCAATCAATCTTTATTTCTATTCTTGAAGTTGACTGTTATTATTTACCTATTTTTTTATATTGTTAGGCTTCGCAGCAACTTGATGTGAGCGTTTCAGTCAGTTGTGTGAGAGAAAGTGCCTGGTAGGTTAGAAATGCACGATATCCTATAGGTCTCTGTGGTCTAATTAGTATGGTACTCGCCTTGACAGCAAGATTTTGCAGGTCCGAATCGCGTCAGAGGCACTTTTTCATACAACTGAAATATGGAGCTTGCCTTTTTGACGAGCTGTCCTTGATGAGATTATTACAACATGTTCCTATTTGATTATATATATACACGTTAATGTTTTAATGTAGCATTTTATTTGAGATCCAGTGAAACGAAATTAATATACAGTATATAGAATACAAAGTATACCCAGGGGTTAAGGAGAACTGTTATTAAATAGACATGACATCAGTTATTGTGAGCCAAAGTGGTACGTTTTATTTGATCAAAGGACCTCAACAATATATTCATTTTCTTGTTGGTTGTGCATAATATAAGTAATAGCTATTTTAAGAAATTTAGTTTGTCCAAATAAAGAACAAGGAAACGAATGAAATGCTTTAAAACATTTCTCCATACATAGATGAACTGTTATTAAATAAGCATGACATCAGTTATAGTGAGCCCAAGTGGTACGTTTTATTTGATCAAAGGACCTCAACAATATATATTCATATTCTTGTTGGTTGTGCATAATATAGGTAATAGCTATTTTAAGAAATTTAGTTTGTCCAAATAAAGAACAAGGAAACGAATTAAATGCTTTAAAACATTTCTCCATACATAGATGAACTGTTATTAAATAAGCATGACATCAGTTATAGTGAGCCCAAGTGGTACGTTTTATTTGATCAAAGGACCTCAACAATATATATTCTTATTTTCGTTGATTGTGCATAATATAGGTAATAGCTATTTTAAGAAATTTAGTTTGTCCAAATAAAGAACCAGGAAACGAATTAAATACTTTAAAACATTTCTCCATACATAGATGAACTGTTATTAAATAAGCATGACATCAGTTATAGTGAGCCCAAGTGGTACGTTTTATTTGATCAAAGGACCTCAACAATATATATTTATTTTCTTGTTGGTTGTGCATAATATAGGTAATAGCTATTTTAAGAAATTTACTTTGTCCAAATAAGGAACAAGGAAAAGAATTAAATACTTTAAAACATTTCTCCATACATAGATGAACTGTTATTAAATAAGCATGACATCAGTTATAGTGAGCCCAAGTGGTACGTTTTATGTGATCAAAGGACCTCAACAATATATATTCATATTCTTGTTGGTTGTGCATAATATAGGTAATAGCTATTTTAGGAAATTTATTTTGTCAAAATAAAGAACAAAGAAACAAATTAAATGCTTTAAAACATTTCTCCATACAAGTGATATCGACATAGATGATAAAAATGGTAGTAACAATGGTAAGGTAAGGTAGTCATGTATGCATTACTATATAAGGGCATGAGCCACTGTGCCGAAAGTTCTTGCGATAACGTTTACAGGTGCACTGTCATAATGTGAACTTGAGACTACTATTATATATACTATATAGTTGTCTCAGATATAAACACATTTGTTTTGTTCAATGAGCCAATTTTAAAATAAATATATCAAAGATGCAAGAAAGCATAACACCATCAGGCCCAGATTTTCCATGACCTTCGCACAGATGGGGTGGTCCTTGCAGTGACTAGAGAGGGACCTTCACAGATAGACCCCTCGGGATACCCCCTTCCCCATGTCAAAAGATTACGTCGCCTCTTGATGGCCGGAAATGGCACTATCAAGTTTTTAATATAATTTTCATTTTTTTTCTCCATTCTTATAAAATAATTTAAAAATATTTACGGTTACCCGGGCCGGGGTTCCCCTTGAATCCGCCACTGCATGGGCGGATCCTCTAACGCTCAGGTGACCTAGGGAAATAACATTTTGGTGGTGAAGATTTAAAAATTCATAAAATGTATTATTTGGAAGATTATCCTTGCATTTAGCTCCATTTATCCAGTTAGATGCAGTATCAGGACCACAAAATATTAGGAATTCCGACCATGAAATAGGGGGTCGTCTTATACGCCCGACATAAAAATAACAACCAAAAATCTCTCATTTTAAATCTCTGAGAGATTTGAAATGCGTGACTACACCATTTGGGTGGGTGGTGCCACCAGGAGTCCGGGGCGAAACCCTTGCGGAGGTTCGGGTTCGATCCCGCGGAGGTTCGAGCCCTTACTTGGGCTCGAATTCAATCCTTTCCATCAGGTGCAATCTCGGTGGTTTAGAGGTATGAAGCCAGGCTAGTGATCTGGTGATCGTGGGTTCCAGTCCCACCGGAAAACAACCTGCAAATATTTTTTGCAAGTGAGTCATTCCATATGAATCCAACACACTTTTTTGCCCGATCCCCTTCGAATCGCGCAATATTTTGCATGTTGGGGGTTCTACCTGAGATAACCCCACAGTGAAATTTTTGGCTCCGCGCCAGCATTTTCTGATGAGTTAGAGCAATTTGAAATTTTCATGAGATTTGGCTAAAAAACTAATCTCTGACAGACAACTGCTGATATCTCTCTTGAAACTCAACGTATTTTAGAAATTCTGTTACCGTTGGATAGAGAAGAAGATTCTCTTTCCATTGATATAACCGTACTAGTGAGAATGATATAGGTCAAGTCACGTGACCTTGACCTTTGACCCAAAATATCACAAAAGTATATATCTCGATTTTTGGAAAATTCACACCTCAGTTAGAACACTTAGCCCACATGATGCCCCTAAAGTTTCATTGTGGGCAAATGAAATATATTAGCTCTAGACTACAATTTGTGCCTAGAGTTCCCAAGAGAGATATCAGCAGTCTGTCAGAGATGATTTTTTTTAGCCAAATCTCATGAAAATTTCAAATTGCTCTAACTCATCAGAAAATGCTGGTGCGGATCCAAAAATTTCACTGTGTGGTTATTTCAGGTAGAACCCCCAACATGCAAAATATTGGAAGGGGGTCGGGCAAAAAAGTGTGTTGGATTAATATGGAATGACTCAAGTGTTTTTACACGTACTGAGTGTTCAGTACAGCTTCACGACAGGTTGTGCATAATTACACATATAATTGATTCTTCTGACGCAAATCCAGGTATTGTCTATTCATTCACGATAATAACAATTACCAATCAATAATAGAACAGTCATCGATCTACTTGCAGTGAAGTGAATCTAAAATGTATTCCTGAAGTTATAATGACCTGACGTGATTCAAAAACATACGCAATAATAGTTGAACCAACTTTAAAATACTACAAAAACGTGCGTGACGATATTTTATTGCTCGAAGCTTTGTTTACACTGTCAAATTTCATCATAAAAGCGTCACATAAAATTTGATGGAACATAGAGTTGAACACGCCCAACATTTTGATAAAATTTGATGATATGTGATATGACGTCATCGTACCCATATATGGGCATATCACGTTTTTGTTTGTCACATAAAATTTGATAGTGCAAGACATAGCTTTAGAAATGTGATTTCAAAAAGTGTTTTAGTGCATCGTATACGTAAGGGCTTGTTTTGTTTGTTTATTTTACTTGCAGCGTTTGGGAAATAGGTAATAGGTAAATTGTAATTAATATAATCCATAATTATAGGCCCTACCTCTCCTGTAGGGCCAGTACAATCAGTGTAAAAGTGTAAGGTATAGGATAGCGTGGATTTAAACATTGTCCTAATGGTAATATTTAAAATAAGTGTCAAAGAAAGTAAGTATTAAGTAGTAGTAGGTCAACATTTTATTTTTATTTCTTACCCTGACCTTCGCCTGGGCGAAGGTCTGAATCCTTGCCTGTGTAAAAATAATTTGGCCGAGTGTAATTGAAAGCATAGTGTAGAATTAAAGAGATAGATTTTTAGCCTAAATAAATCACGTTTGGGCGAGTTTAGGTCGTTCCAGAATGCACAGAAGTAGGAAAGCAAGGGTCTAAATTATACGAAGGTTATATGAATGCATGAACAAATATTCTGATGGGCCTGGAGGACCTATACCTTAAAATCTTCAATGGAAGCCCTGGGTTTCTTATTCTTTTTTTCTGCGAACTTCGGCTGGGCTTCTTTCGAGGCTATTTTTGCAAAGTAAAGAGTGGGGGCTTCTTTTCAAAATTAATGCTGTAATTTTGGGAATTACAATATTATTATAAAACAATCAATACTGTAGGGCCACTGTAACATCAATCTGTATCATTGAGTGTATTAACCGGCATTAAACCACATAAACACTCTATAAACCAAGCGTGTTTTCAATTTATTTTGTTGCTTGAAATTTACGTACTGTGCTATGTCGAAAAAAAGCCCATGCTATCTTGAAAAGAAGCCCATGGGTTTCTCTTC